TCAGGTTCGTGTCGAGGAGCCTGAGCACACGATTTGTTTCAAAAGGCCCATTGCCGTCGCTTCTAATCAATATCAAAGGATTTCAGTTATGACCCCCATTTTATGACCAGATGTAATCATGGTGACAGCGATCAACTTGAAGACAGATAGTTTATTGTCAGGCTCTGCTTTTGTCACAACAGCTTGGAGGCAGATTAGCGAAGAACGACGCTGGCTATTGCAATTCGCCGGTAGACCTCTTCCTCCCATTTTCAACCATCAGTGTATATGACCCAGATGTAGGTAAAATTTTTCATCGACTGCCCTGGTTCTCCATTAATCTCCAAAGCCCAAAGGGTAAGAGAACGAGAAAGCACTAGGCATTTGGTTTTAGGCTTAACGAACTCGGCTGTGAACCTTTCGAGAGAAAGCTGGGGATCAATTTTGGAAGATGCTAGCAAGCAGTAAGCTTAACGTCTTTAGATTTATTATGATACACTTGCTGCCCTGGCTACGCCGGACTGTCCTATCTGTGTACAGCATCAACAGGACAGGGCCGAAACGTAGTCTTGGCGGAGACTAGTGCCAGTGTTGAAAGTTTTCGATTTAATTCCCTCTATCCTAAGGAAGCACTTCATAGTAACTCCATGGCTCGTGTCACCTAGCCATCGATCCCATACGTTTGCAGACAGGCCCACGGATCATAGAGCGGGATGCAATCATAGGCTTTCTTTAGGTCAACCAAGTACGTATAAACAGGATGAGAACTCTCACAATTTCTGAATTTGCTCATAGATGCTCCGACTTTCACCTGAAGCCACATTTTATATTCTGAATCTCAGATTTAAGTATTCCTCGGCACCCATATTAATGGTTTGTAGGATACGACATATTAACGACATTTGCAGGAGGCTCAGTAAAGTAATGCCGTAGTTTCTATAGTCTTTCTTGTTGAACAGAGGTACTACTACCTTCCACTAAGGTCTACTGTTTTCTTATTTATTTCAGTTTGACAGACATATATTAGCCACAATATGCTTTGCTCACCTAATCCTTTGAGCATTTCACGGAGAATCTCATCGATGCTATAAGAAATGCCACTTTTAAAGTTCTTTACGGCTTCTGTTACTGCATCTACTGAAAAACTAAGATCTTTGGCTTGCTACTTTCAGATGAGTCCTCTTAGGGTTGTTTGTGGTTCAGCAGTTATTAACAACTGCAAAAGTATATTCTCTTCCTTGATAAGTTCGGACTTAGCTTCCAGGCCAAACATTCTACAGCTCATTTAACAAGTTGTCTGTGCGTGCACATGGAATATCCACATTCTACTCCAAGAAACATTCTTTGTATGCGAAGCTTGATTCCCTCTACCCAGATCACGCCTGTCAGTAAAGTTTACATGGTTAAAGTTGATATAGTTAAAACAAGTTTCACGATTTATGATCATCATCTCTCCCCCTCGTTTGTGATAAACATATCTAAAATGTCGCATGATTTAAAAAACGTCTTCAAGTGTAAATTAGTTTGATCCATCTGATATGAATCATTATTAAAGCCGCTATTGCAACTGGAGCATTAACACAGAACTGCAATTAGCGATTTAAACTTTTTATCTGTCCGTACAAAGACAGTATCTGTACATATTTATTTAAATTTGTGAGCAGTATAAAACAAATACAACACAGGTTTATTTATGTTTGTGCTTTGATTTCGTCTTTTTCTTATGTTTCTTCTCTTGATGATGCCGATGGTGAGTAGAGGAAACTTTCTTAGTCTTTTTATCCAATTTATCTTTCTTGTCCTTTTTATCTTTTTTGCCTTTTCTCTTGCTTTTCCTTTTCTCCTCATCTGATTTGTCCGATTCTAGAGCAGAAACAAGCATAAGGAACAAGCCGGATAAATCGATCATCAATTCATACTTTCTACTTCTGATTCAGACGATGAGCTGCTACTTTCTGAGCTACTAGAAGGTTCAGACAAGAGCTTGTCTAAAGGATTTCCTGTCGAAGCGACCGGAATTTGCGGCAAGTTAACAACTTGCTTTGGACCACTTTTTAAATGTTCCCGCAAGATGACCCTAAATACAAACCATTTATGCAATCAACAAAAAAATGAGGACAGCAGAGATAAATCTAGAAAAAAGCTAATATAACAGTTCTGCCCGATATAGATCTATTTAAGCAAGGCTGATACAAAGATATTTTCCAGTGGAATAGGACAGATAGGATGTGAAAAATTAGAGAACTGGGCATAAAGAGTTAATTTTTGTTTCTTGTACGGCTCTGAGATTAAAATTACGATATAATATTAGCGTCAATTATCACACTATCGCAGCGGTCCGTGAGATTTACCGTCTTAGCCGAATGCAGTAGGGAATAACAGCTGCATACTGCTTTGTCGATAATGCAGCCTCTATACATACCAATACAATGACTTGGGCTACGCCAAAGTACACTGACACATTCACGCTATACTAGAAGCTGATCCATTGCAGGCAAATAGCAACTGTGTACTCAACCATAAATTCAGTTGGCCATTGCCATCATTTCAAAATGGACTAATCAGAATGTTGAACATTTAACATGTATTAACATGTAGCTTGTAAAAACTTGTAAATACTTTAAAAACGTTTTGAATCCGGCAGACTTACGTTAATCCACCGAGTCCGATGGAAGTGAAAAAATTGATCGAAAACCGTGTATCGCGGGGATTGTCTCGAGGAAACAGACCGTCGAATCCTTCTTGCAAAGTCCTAAACGTTACATTAAGATTAACATAAAGATCAGCACAAAAATTCTAAGCTGCCCAAGAGGAAAAATCATACGGATCTTGAGTTCTTTCATACAGCTTCTCCAAGCCCATGAATTCGGCAAGTTCCTGGAAGAGGATTTTGATGAAAATGCGACTGGCAGACGTCGTGTCGTCCTCGTTCAACCTTATATGACTAAGAATCTACAAACAAAATAAATGAAGACTTAGCGCAAAGATAACATGACTACGGCACAAAAGCACGTACCGTCCATCCAATGGCATCTGTATAAAACAGGTGCGCGAACAGCTTGGCGGTGTTACGCAATTTGGTGATTTCAAAGCGGTGAATCGTGTCGTATGTGTCCTTAAATATCGCCTCGAAATTCTCTTGATATTCCTTCTTCAGTCTGCAAAATCTCTGAAACCGCCTCCTGTGGTTATGCAAAACTGGCCAAAAAACTATTAAGACGACTCACTTCCGCCATCAGGCCAAAAAACTTCTCGTACGTCCGCTGCTGGGCGCAACAGTCAATAATCATGTGACATAATTCAACCTGAAATGAAAGCATATGAAATATTTGTGTAATACTTCTTAAGCTCTGCGATCGACCCTTTACTTAATGCTTAAATATAACTTACTTTATATTCACTTGCTCGTATATGCCCACGATGCCACGACTCCAGGAATTTGAACACCTGCAGTTCCAAATGCATTTCGCATTACCTTCTTCGCTAGAGCACCTCATGTTCACTATGAGTGCTCTCTCAGGACTGAATGGGTACTACTTATATACTGCCGCATAAACATGAAAATATGATCGCACGCAGAGCATGTCAAATAAGGAATAACTGCTTGAAGACCAGAGTTTTACGTACTGCCCTGCTTCCTTGCTTTTAGCTGCGATACGTGGGGAAATGTGGTCTTGAAGGAGTTATGCGTTATTTGACATATTCCGGTACATAAATAAATTCTGACGTTTACGCGGCAGCATATAATGAGCAACAGCTCCTGAAGCATACATACTACAGCACTACCTGTATTATATTCATTAACATGGTTCATTATATCTTATCTGTCCACGTGGTAGCCAAAGTACATAGTTTTGGCTGTTATACCGTCTATGATATGTCGTCTATATAAATGATAACGACAATACGATTGCACAATTATGAAGTGCTATGATACGGTACAATGCATCAGCAAATCAATGTACTCTAAGCAAGAACCTCGCTCTTTCGATACTTAAAAAATCATATTTTGCTTTTCGCCATTATAGGTCGCTTCAATAATAATATTTTTGCTCTGTACCCATTCCTGCTCAGACATGCGATCAGCAACAAGCAAAAACTTTTAAAAAAACTTCGCCTTAAAGAAGTTCTACAGGACAAAACGAACAGTATTCGATGGCTTACCGTTAACACAAAGACTGGATAACCTCAAAGCTCAGTAATGGAGTAGTTTTGCACCATTTATTGCATTATGCCGTGGCATCACCACAGAACTTAATATGTCATGACTAGGGGTTGACAACTGCCTTAATTTTTCTTAGTGCATATTTAACTGTTAATTTAAGAGATCACAGGTCACCCGATCCGACATATTGAGATTTTCTGACTATTTAATGTAGGCGTCACAATTTCTAATGTTTCAATAAATACGATGTGATTTACGAAGTAAATCTACCACATGGCAGCAACATGCTATCATGAAACCATTCATGAACAACGTTCATTCCTTGTTTACTAATTCCCACGGTTCATTTTTGCTGTGTTTCATAAGCATTATAAGGACATTATTCTTTATATCGAACTGTTAAAAACAGGCACCTATAGCAATAAACTTGAATAGATAGATCGCTTAGGAAACAGTTCACGAATCAACCATAAAAAACGCACGTTATCCGTTTATATCGACTTGCCTCCATTCCGGGCTTGATTTCCATTTTTAGAAGTTTGTGAATAGCTTCTTGAAAGTCAAGAGATGACTGAATGGTCAGATAAACGGTACGTCGAAACGCCACAAGATTTGTCTCAGTGTTGTCCAAAATTAGCTGAGCTTCTGAAGTGCGCACGCTTGACATGAGGTGAACATCAAAACAAGAGAAACAAACACACCTGCGGATTCTTCATCGTTTTCGTCCTCTTCTTCCTCACTGCCACTTCCTCCTTCATCGTCATCTCCCAAGATCTCTGAAAGGAAGGTAAATTTCCATATGAAAATAAGAACATATCAATAATGCATACCTTTCTTGATTTCTTCGTACATTTCTTCGTTTTTCTCGAAATCAGGGTCAAATCGAAACACGTCTAAAACAATTGATGAGTGACTAACCACTACTACTCCACAATTGCTGCTCGCAAATCAGAACTTCCCACTTCTACATTCACCGAATCTACTATATGAAGCGAACGATTACAGCCATGTACCAGACTCAAGAAGGCAAACCGAAATGTTGAAATTTTGCTAGAAAATTGTTGGAATATGCATCCAGAAAATTTATGAAAAATTGCGCATACTTACAGATTTATTTATACAATTATTCGAAAAGTAATTTTATTCTTCCTGAAGTAAAAAAGCATAATCTACACTGCTACCATACATTTTAGAAACTGGCCTTGATTCTGCACCACGCACTTAGTAACTTATTGGTTTTACTGACGCAAAGGTTCTCGACGAAACGTCGACTGATGAAACAGAGCGAGATTTTATTGGTAACGTTTCAGCCGTACGGCAACCGTCTTCCTGTGGGTCAAACAAGAGGTCATTCAACGCTGAAAAACGGCCGTATGGTCGAAAAGTTCGTAATAAAATCACTGCTGTGTTCGATTAGACTACGATGCGTCAAAGTCATAGCATTAAGTCAGACAATCAATTGTTATATATCTTACCCATAGTAATAATCATGATTATAAAAGAACTGCCAGCTCAAGAAACGCCGTTCGTGACGCGCAAAACAATTCTAGCAAAAAACAGCGCAAGATACAAAACACTGCAAGTGCTCCAATACCAGGGAGCAGTGGATTGTTTACGTGGCTTCCTAGACAATCTATGAGCAACAGAGTAGAGCAATTTGCCGTGAAATTTGGTTCTGAAAGAGTTATCCATCGACAAATGCAAATCTATTTCTTATTCCTTCTAAAAAAATCAGTGAAAAGGTAAAAATAGTACAAAAAACATTAAGAAGAAATGAGATAAATCAAATCACAATTAGTTCATGGCTTACTAAACCTCAATTTAAAAACGTTTTTAAACTATGCGCATAAATTGCATTTTAGATATGACAGATTTGAGGAGAAACAGTAAACACCGCTAAAACTATGCGCATAAATTGCATTTTAGATATGACAGATTTGAGGAGAAACAGTAAACACCGCTAAACTGTGGTAATGACAATGAATGTTCAAAAGGAACAAAAGCCATACTTCTCTAAATATTTAAGCTCCAAAGCAAGGTTCCGCGAATCGTAAAAAAACCCATGCGAAACAAGACAGTTCCATTCCCCAGAAACCAGAGTGTATCAGCATCATCAGTCAAAAAAATCATTTTAATGGATGCGCCAATGGCAAATCAATAAAGACAGGTCATGGACCAAATAAAAGTAAGGCAGAGCTAGAGATTGGATTGAGATAGGACATGGGTAATGCTAAGAGCTGATTCGAAAGAATGTGCCTGCGGTGCGGCGAGTTTGAGAAAATTCACTTGTCGAGAAAGAATACAGACAAAAATAAAAATTCAATCGGGAAAAAGATTAGAATTAGACGTTGATTTGAAATCAATCACCCGAGGAACCACGTTGACCATATGCTTCCTTATGATCGACAGCCACTAACAAGATCAACGAAAATACCCTCAGTCCCAAGAATGTCGGTAAAGTACAGAGAGATACTATCCTGAACAATTACAACTGGCTGAAAAGTTAATAATGAAATAAAATAAGTTATAATGAATATCACTGAAAAAATGGCATACAAAAGTCAAAGCACCTAAATCAACTACTATGGCTTACTTAAAATGTTCTGAGGATCTTGAGCATCTTCCAGCATTAAGGTGTGAGTAATTTTATCATCTTCTTCCACAAGATCGAGCTCGGAAATAACCGGAGGATGTTGCTAAATAAATAAAACGAGGATGAAGCGGCGATGGCATAAAATTTGCGATGAAAATAAACCTACCGAAAACTTGTCTTTGCGAATGTGAAACAGGACCTCAATCATGTACTGCACCCGCTTATCGATTTCCGACTCATGTAGAATCGACCGCAACCGTTCGAATATCGCTGAAATATACACCGTAAAACTCATTAATGACAAATAGGCAAAAAAACTAACAGATGAAATAAAAGCGCAAACATTCGTACCGTTAACCCCACGAGGAGTCAGTTCAGTCAACTTTGCACCGCATTCTTTGATGAACGCAACGGCAACCTCCACTGAATCGTCGGTAGGGTTTTCCAATAAAACAGTCAATATTTCCAGCGCAAGCACTTCGTGAACCTAAACTAAGGACTACAGACAAAACTCCAGTTCCTTTACAGCCATCAAAAGAAAGAAACAACAGTCTGCACCGTTGGGATGTCGGTTTCCTTTATACATTAATGGCAAGCATCATTACTGTGAGACTGTGACCTGTTTCCATATCATCACAGAGAAACGCCGTATGTCAAAGGCAGCGTCTGTAGCGATATGACAAGTCCATCGACATTAGAAGGATGAGAGGCAATTGACTCGATTGGCCATATGGTCCTAAAGGAAAGCGCTGCTGTGCATTCTCTATTTATTTAAGTCTCTAACAGTTGAAAGACTAAAGGTTATGATAGGGGTGCAGTGTCATCCTCACCAAGTAAACTGGAATAACCTCAACGATTACTAACAACCATAATAAGTGGTCGCAGAACCACCTTGAATGGACATGTACCATGGCTATCAATGCACATTACCGCTGACTGTACTCTCAAAGTGGCTGCAAACAGTCGCAATAAACTCATATTGATGTTGCTTCTTTAACAACGCCCCAAAGGCAAACGACCGAGGACGTGTACAAAGCCCATGTTTAACCACCGAACACGGGTGAGATAAATAACGTCATTGTATAAGCAAGCCATCTGCACATCATTGGTGCAACGGTCTTAGGACCTTGCCGACGACATTGCTTAATTCTTGTTCAAATGCCATTTAGAGGTGAGCGATTCTGCAAAACGTCTTTACACATCAACAAATTCTGCCTACCTCAGCATTACTGTTCCCTTCACACTACTTGACAAAAAGTATGGTTCAAAGCAAAAACTTTAAAAATGTGTTTTAAGAATTTTTCTTTCTTATACATCAGTCGACCATGTAGTTTATCCTTGAACTAAGGAAACTACTTCCAACCCCATCTGAAAGAAAACTGCTTACATTAACTGTGAGTCCCAGTAGCAGGAAAAAACTCATTTCCATATGCCCTGCGGCAAACATCCGAGAAGAGGTATTAGAGGGATGACCTTTAAGGAAACTAGGTACAGTATGGTATTTCAGAACCAACGGACCTTACAGAGTCATATTAGTCATTGCTGTGTATTTGATGGCGCCAGTATATTCTTGCCCATCTAATGCCAATATATGACGAAAACCCTTATTGAAGTTAAACTAAAATTAGTTATTTCTACTTATCTGTGCCTATCATTTTTCACATCACGCTAAACAGGACGTCAGTTTAAAAAAAACCACTGCTACTGGAACTCATGATTCTTGAACTTGTGATGCAAATTTTAGAAATAAGTGACTACACAAAAAGAAAAATGATCTATCCATAATAAATAGTAACGTAATTATGAATGTATTTAAGTAATAATAGCAAAGAGTTAAACAGCTGTAAAATTGGGTCTACTACGAAAAGTTTTAAGTTTTAAATACCGCCAATTAAAACAACATAATAAACATGACATTTGAGGTAATTCCATTTCCAGATTTGTCTTGGTGCCAACAGGTAAAAATGATTGCGGTTAAAACGTGGAAGAACCTCTATCGTCTTTTTCGCTGAGAGAAGTGAGAAACTAAAAACCACTCTGCACGTTTCATAATCCATTCGCCATAATTCATAGTCCATTCCACTTCACACCTCATCAAAGCGTGCATTCTTCCTTTTTTACACACGTACCCATTTTTTCCTGGGCAATTCAAAACTGACCTTCACATTCTGCGCCGAGCCCTCAACTTGACAGCACGTAATATCTGATTACGTTAGGTTTAGAACTTCTTGTCAAAGAATTTGTACAACGCATCCCACAAGCTTATCCAGGCTTGGGCACTGATATTCTCTCCAACAGAAACTATCCACTTCACCAGGTCCTGTTGTGCGCTATCCCGACGTCGATATAAGACCAAAAAAGGTCAACGTCGAGTCTGGGAAGGAACTGATACGAAATTCCTGCCTTGGCTCGCAACTTGAAGAATCCATTGTAGCTTGCTAATAGATGGTGTAAACAAGTAGTTAATCTGACCACCTTTTAACGTTTGCTTATGCGTTTGGTCTTCATTGTTGTTCTTTTCTGTTGAAAGACATAGACACATTCCACACATTCAAGCAATAAAATATATTCATTAATTTATGAGTTTGGCACTTCCTATTTTCAGAAGTAGATGTAATGTAGCCATTAAGCTAACAAAATTGTTATTACGAAGAAAAACACCAAAAGCATGGTTTAATTATACAAAACTCAAAAAACTGCTGTATCGGTGCAAAGTTATTATTGAAATTTCTGTCCGTACCATGAACATTTCAGTGAGTAAAGAAGCTGGACATCGGGTGTTGTTGTTCAAGTAGCCTGCAGCATTGCAAATCATAAGGATTTATAGCTTGAAACGCCCCATCTTTTGCAAAGGAGAATAACAACTGTCAATGGTATCAACTCTAATGTGAAAAAGATAAATGAGATAAGAAACTTCGGTAGAAGTCTATCATCTAAAGACCAACTGTTTCTGTGTTGCAGAATTAATCGTGCTTATATCATGTTTCAGTATTAGCAACGTATTTGATATTCCGACATCATAAAACACTACAAAATTAAATATACTCTATTAGAGTGACAGTATGCTTAATATACATAAGTAGAATATTAAACATAGAAGCGCAGAAATTAAGTTCACAACTCGACAGGTACCGGATTAACCTATATAAAATTTATTATGTACAAGCTCTCCAAAGTTCCGGATCATGTCTGATTTTTCTTTAGCGAGCAACATATTACACGTACGATGCTACAGCATACCTCAATGCATTTGGGTACAAACATTAGTATGGAGGTTGTAGTCTTGATAGTAGAATTTGTTTGATAACTGCATTCTAGTATGAACTAAATTCCATAGAGACGTCTTTAATGATGCACTTGTTTTCTTTGCATTACTAGCTTAAGAATGCTTTGCTTTCAGTGTATTACTTTATGTAGCCCCACAGTATGCAATGTTCTTATGTGCATGTTGAACAACTGCCGAGTTCTTTTCGCATTCCTGATTCACCATCAGCAGTTCTTACGTTTATCGTCACGGTCTACCATCCTGTGTTTGTCTATTATGATGTAGATTTGCAGTGCGTTATATAATCAGATAACTAAGCCGTTCTTTCTTCCTCTTTGCAATGATGCTGCCGGTTTCTCAAATGTAACTGAAACCACATTCACAGGGCAGGATGTAAATCCAGTCTTGTTGTTTGGATTTTCGGTGGGAGGATTTCACATCAGCTGGCTTCATGTTATTTGGGATATGAATACTGGCTGTATTTCGCGCTCAAAGACGACCCACTGCTGCTTCTTGCTTAGATTTGAAACGTATATTATGGAACCACATGAAGGAAATATAGCAAGAGCGAAAGTTTCTAAATCGCAAGATAAAAGAAACACTGGTATCACGATCAAATGAATACACTAATAAAGATGTCGGTATGGAATTAAGTTCGCACTGGAACAAGGTTACCAAGCAACTTCCACTATTGAGGTTTAAACATCCATAGTGAAGTTGGTAGTAAAATGTGCAGATAAACACTGTAACATCGTATCTGCAATATATCGCCCACTTAAACCGGATCGAGTATGATTCGAAACGTTGGAGAACGTTTTAAACTTGTACATAATAAATTCCATGAGATGTAATCTCGTAATCAAGTTTTGAGTAGCATAGCATGGCAAATATACTACATTGATTTACATACATAAAACAATTTTCGCAACTGCTAGTACTGGTTCATGAAAAATCGCTAATGTGAAGCGTATATTGTTGTAGTCAGCAAAAGAAAGCGAGACGCGTCGTTGAGCTTTAAAAGCTCAAAAACCATAGAGTCATGAATAATAAAATGACTCCTTAGGTCATAGAAGCAAGGTAGTGATGACTTAATACAATTTAAAATGAGGTTCTTCATAAGTATTCATCAACATACACTAGTGTATTAATTTACGTATTACAAACAGTAGCAATAAATATTAATAATAGTACAGAAACAAGTTATAAATACAAGAAAGACCATAAATTACCACTTGTTGATTCACCAGGTGAGCGACGAACTTCGTGGCGGTAATCGCTAACTGTTTGTCGTTTCTGCGAAACGCTCGTTTGAACTGAATGATCAGGCGACACAGCACCAGCTCGCCGATGTGTGGAAACTACAATGCACTACTAGAAGTCAACTATGTAATGCAAATGCCAAGGCGGCCAGCCGGTCCGGCATTACCTTCGAGTTAATGATGGCCACCAACGCGGCATACACGTGACCGAATGCGGGAGAAAACGCCTGAGCTTGAATAAGCGACCTCGCAAGAAGACCCCTAAAATGCACACATATCACAGATAGAAACGGTATGAGACATATCTAGTATCAGGCTGAGACCAGAACTGAAACTGTAATATTCTTAAACCTCTCATTTACCGGGAACAATTGGTTCAAAAGATCTTCATACTGATAATGCTATTCCGCCAAAATCAAATAAGTTCAGTGAGTTGGATTCCAAGGCGGGACAATATCAAACATTCTGTGACCAAACAATCTCGTTCGCGGTCTGCCCTGAGACACGAAGCAAATTCATTCATCAAGTTTCACTACTGACATCCTAATCTCGTGTCCAAATCATTACAATTGCGACTATCAATCTGAAGAACGAGTGACTCACAAACGAGGGCATTTCTAACCTCATAGAATTTCATCACACCAGCGATTCCTCGAAGAAACTTCATTTCTGCCGTTTGTATCAGAGACCGCACTCTTACGACCAATATCCAGCACTCATGATCATAGGTTAATGTAATTTCGCAGAGAAACAATTCTTAAGCCGTCCGCATGAAAGAGATTTATTCGTCGTTCAGCTAACAAGTTATATGATTATTTGACTGTATGGAGCTATATTTCTGGCATGTGAGTTATCGAGTGAGTTATCACAGCCTCTGTTGCACGACTGATTTTTTTCGTGCCTTTCTCATTTAAAAAGTAAGGCTATGCAGGACAACGGAGAAAGGTTTATCAAAGGCATTTACCATTAAAACTAGCCTCGCTGTAGACAGTCATGCTACACAGAATGAAGTTGCAAAGTCTGTCAACTAAATGCTATACTGCAGTAGCTCATATATTAATGATGCAAAGTACTCTTTGTGCAAATTCCAGATTCCATCAGAATGCTGTATCCCTCGTAACGAAATGTTCGCTTGTCATCTGAAGAATCCTTTTCAAAATTTTCGAAACTTCGATCAGCGCAAAATACTGAACGAAATAACTTCATACATTATCTATCGTGATTTCGAGGTATATAATCCACAGCTAGGTGACCCACTGGTATATGCTTATGCTTAGTTAATATAATTTAAGCCACCCTGGTACGTTTATGACAATCGCAGAGCAGTGGTTAAGTGTAGTTGCCAAGCAATGATAAAGTTTAGGCAGTGGGTAATTTATACTTTGCAACTGCCTTATTCCAATTTTCCAACCGCTACTTTTCTGTCATTTTTACTTGCCTGTTCTACCAGCGGAATCTTTGAATGCCGTTAGTCCGGTATCTCACTTCACACTGACGACTCACTGACGGAAGTGGTCCCATTCTGAGTATGAGAATCCAGACGACCATGCTGTAAGGTTGCTTGGGGAGCGCAAATCGTCTGCTGAAAATGTCTGCTCTGATTCTACCAGATTCGATTACAACTGGTACAGCTCATCTTATAAACTACACTGACGGCTTCCGGTGTAAACTATACTACTGTTCGGCGTTTGCTCACCAGACCAAACAACGGTTTGAAAATCACAGACCTCTTTTTGCACGTTGTTGGTTTCACGTAAAGCCGGACGTACAATTTAACTGCCTATGCTTGACTGCGTTTGTGACCGTTGTGTTGCAACTCAGGACTTACTTTCCG